ATATTCTAAAATGGATGTGCTTGTGAGGCGCCCCCGTGTGAAGAGCAGATTCTGTTCCTTTGTAGCATAACCATGCACACGGTGTGGTGTGCTAAAAGGTGTCAGCCAATGGGTTGGTAAAGCTTTAAATCCTCTCCTGCTCTCCATTCCTACTCGTCACTCGCGTCATCTGTACGCACTTGGGACCCACCTAACAGGCTGACGTGGTGTATTAATAATTGCATCAAGAGCCAGAAAAACAGTGGGTATTAAACACCGTCAATCATAGAGTACTGGATTTTGTCTTTAATTGACCGGTACTTTGCATTTTTTGCTTAAAACTTAAAAAATGTGATAATTCAGTATCCAAAATTTTAAAACGCCATAAACAAATCATCAGTCAGCCTCATTATGTGATATCATATACGAATTAAATAATTAAAAATATTAATATTGCCTTTTATATATTTTTGACCAATTTATCTTCTTTTTTAAACAAATAAAAGATCATAAAATGTTTAAATAAAAATATACCCTCTGAAGAAGTTGGGTGGCAATAATTAGAGGTGTAAATTGAGCCATGTCAACTTTCCTTGAGATAATTTGGGGTGCGGGCCCATACCATGCCATGTTGGCTAATCTGTGAGTCAAATTTTGGGCTAGGCCAAAGTTATATATTCAAAAAAAATGAAAAAAAAACTTAAAATTTTATTTATATGAATTTTGATATATACAATTGCTTATATATACAATAATTAAATTAATTAATATAATAAAATTAAAAATAATTATTTATTTTATTAATATATTATATACTATATATTATTATATAATCATAATTTATATAATATGTAAATAATATATATGGGTTGTACTTTATGCCGTGCCGACCCAACCCATCGACCTAAAACCCTTGGCCTAGACACTACCCACAATCTTGAATCTGGGTTTTTTTTTTTTTACAATTACATATCGACAACACTTGAGTGAGTACTAAATGCCTCCTTCCCTGGGTGTTTTTTTTTTCAATTATGGTTCGGTCTCCCGTATTGTAGTTTTCATTCGATCAGTGGCAAATGCGCTACAAACATTGACAACCTTGATTGTCTTCTCCCGCGCCGGCAACAAGCGGTCGTCTTCTCTAGCAACGATATGATTAAAAACACTTCTAACAGTAGCAACTGCGTTATATTCCGACGATATTTTCCCAAATAAGTGGAGAAGACTTCGTACGACACTCTTCGATATAATTTTCGGTATTTCAGCTTTTCCAACGTTGTATTCTACTTATCAACACCGAAAGGAAGAATTGGTCTCTTCGGACTGTTAGGGCACAGTTTCACAGAGTGGTAAATAGTGGTTCTCACTTGCAAAGAAAAACTATTATGGTTGAGGTTATTTTTATCATTTTAAAATATTATATCATTCAATTTTCAAAAATACTTGGGGTAATTATGTCTTTTTCTATTCTGGTTGACAGTCTGTTAACGGCAGGCACCGGATTATCCCTTTTGAAAATTCAAGTATTAAATTGTTATCTTTTAAAATTCGGAGACTAAATTTTCACTAAAGGCGAAGTACAATAGATTTTTTTTTTTTCAAATCTCACGTATTGTACCCCTCCTGTGATCCGACAAAAAGTTGGAATCTCATGCTTCCATACAAAAAACAAATCAACGATCCTGATGTAATGATACAAAAATTTACATACTTTATGATGGCGTGAATGATCACACCGAGTCAATTTCTATATGAAGTTATGTAGATAACCACTGATGTTGTTTTATCATAGTTGGAATCTCTGCTAATTAGGGGTGTCAATGGTATTCGAAAATCTGATTTTAAATTCGATATTTAACGTAATCGAATCGAATTCGGATATTCGAATATCTAATCGGTTGAATTCGGATATCTTGTTCTTGCCAAATAGTTAATCGAATTCGGATATGACCTAATTCGATTCGATAAATATTCAAATTTGACCGATTATTTAATTCTTATATAATATATAAAATATTTTATATAATAATTAATTTATATACTTTATATCAATAAAATATTTATTTTATATATTTATTAATTATCGAAAATAATTAATTAATCAAATTTGAACCAAATCGAATATTCGAATATTTAATTGGATTCGAATTCGGATATTACCTTATCCAATTCGAATTCGATCCGTTTACACCCCTATTGCCAACAAAGCAAGTTCCATGATCCGTTACCCATGAGATCAGATCTACTATCAACATATGCTATCAACAATACGTTCTCTATATGTTTCACTGAAGCCACACATTGAGAACATCTATTAATATCTCAATAAAATGCCGCCATAGTTTGTTGGGACAGTGTTAGGCGCGGTTTGTTGATGTCAATGCATGTACATCTCGATTGGTACCCTCAGTGTATAAATATGACATGTGCGGTTTAAAACTATGGGTCTGTTTGGTTCGTAGTCAGATTTGGAATCAAAATTCGAATCCTCTGGAATTAGAATTATAATGGTCCATTCCCATAGCATGTTTGGTTCAGACAGGAATGGGAATGGAAATTGGAATCAGTGGAAATAGGATTTCATTCCTAAGGGAAGGGCAAGGAATGGCCATTTCCTCAAATGGGGGAATGCCATTTTAGTAGGAATGGAAATGGAATCCTGATTCCACCCAATCAAACAATTGGAATCGGAATAGCCCATTATGATTTTGATTCCAGATCCCTATTCCCGTGAACCAAAATGGCATTTTTTTAGGGGGGGGGGGGAACATATATTGTTTGCAAGTAATTTGAGCTCCAACAAAATATGTTATTAGCACCTGGGACTAAGGTTCAAAGTATCAATACCTATCGGTTGATACATATTGTATCAAGGGCTTTTTATATGTCCCTATGGGGAGTGTTTCGGGGTCTAAGTCAGTTAAGGGGGGTGAACGAACCTTAAACCGACCTTTTTAAACCATATTTAAAAAAAAATCGATACACTTTGATACTCCTACCAACATATCAGGTGTATCAACACTTCGAACCTTGGTTGGGATCCACCATAAAATTGAGTACCACCATGCATGGTTTTGAAAAAGCCGAGTTGGATTGGACAGTAGGACCAGTTGACTTGGGAATTGGTTAGGCAATCGATTATGTTTCACCCTAATATCGCTATTGGGCCAAAAACTATTGATTTAGTTAGTGACCCACTAACCAGGCAATTGAACTGTTGATCTATGGACAATGGTTTTTGGCTGTTTTGTGTTTTTAATTATTTTTAATTAGAATGGGTGGGGCATCCATTCGAACTAGCTAATCAAACTGTTCAACCTCATAAACGGTCCTCAAAATGGTTTTGTGTCATATCTAGTTTTTAAAACCTTACCACCATGTACGAGATTTAACGATGTTGGATCATGTTGCAAGGGTGTTGAAATGTAGTCTGATATGGTCTCAACAACATGGTCCCAACAATCATTGCAGCTATACATCGGAATCAATTTGCCATAAAAGAACAAGAGAGGTTGCATAGGATCTGCTCTCAACAAAACTCTCCCAACTTGCCACTACAACCACACTTTAATAGTCCATTTGGTTGCTGAGAAAAGATGTGATGATAAGGGATGCAATGAGAAAGGATGGGATGAGAAGATAAAATTTATTTTTTCATTCACGTCACCCTATGTTTGGTTGTTTTGATTGGTCATCCTACCAAATATGCTACCTAGTGTTTGGTTGATGAGAACATTTATAGAAATTACAGATTAAAAATTACAAAAAGTGCACTCTTCTATTTAATTACAATTTACAAAAAATACAAAAAATATAGATTTGTTGAAAACTAATTCAACAAATGGATCTACATAAGGGTCTATCAAATCTAAAAAAATAAGAAGCAAGATGGAAGGAATACCTGATAATGCTTTGAAGAGTCTAAAAAATGAAAAACATCACTGCAATTTAGTAGATCTGGCACAAGGGGTTGTAGATCTGAAAAACACGATTGATCTTGTTCTGACGTACACCATGTACACACAATCATCAGACGATTGGGCGATAATGGCGAAGGAGAGGAAAATAAGAAAGAAGAGGAATAACAGACAATGAGCGTCGCCTCCGGTGGCCATGCCTTCTATTTTTCTCTTATCTGTCTCTACGATGATGAGATCTGAGAGTCAGATATGAAAAACACAAACATGTTAGATCTACATCACTAAATTCATCCGATGGAAAAAATGGCGGCGTAAAATGGTATAACCTTCTATAGTGACGAAAAAGGTGATGGCCAGAGCTATGACCATTGAAGGTGTGAAGCTTGAATGGGGAAGAACAAAAATGATTACAAGACAAGAAAAAATACAAAAAGAAAGCATAAAGAGAAGAGAAAGGAGAAGAAAAAAAGTGTTAATGACCTACATTTGTTGGAAATGATGACGAAGACGATGGAATTGTGACCGTTGGGGTGTTTGAAGCTTGATTGAGAAGGTGAGTAACTGCCCGCCTTCGATAAAGTTTTCCCACTTGGTTCTCACTGTTTTCGTTTCTCAATAAGGTCACATTTATTTGGTGAAACCCCATATCCCTATTTTTGTGAATCAATTTCTCATCAGGTCTCACTATTTCTCCTAGATCAAATGCGGAAAAAGAAAAATGTAAAAAGAATATTCTTTCTTTCTCTTCCCCATCTCACTAGTTTCCAATGTGCGACCACAACAGCTTTTGGGATAGTATTAGGAGTGTTCGTTGGGAGCAGATCTTTACTGGTTGAGACGTATTTTGTTGACAGGAGAACCGGATTCAGTCGGTCACGGGCACGGCTGAGGCTGAATTGTAAATTTGTAACCGTGGCTAGAGGGAAATTGTACATTTGTACGTCGGGAAGGGTATTCTAGTAATTGTTTAACACACGACATTCGTTTTTGGGTCAGTGGTGCATTCGTAATTTTGGAGCACAACTGTCTCTTTTTGAACGCCAAGATCCACGTAACTTTACCGACGTATCGGATGAATAACAGAGGAATGATAAAGAAACTCGAGTATCAACACTGTATAGTAGGCGGGGTCCAATCCGATCAATAACAAAGAGAAGGCCTGATGGATGATTGAGGTTTGTGTTTGAAGTTTTAACTTTTAACCCTAGTTCTAATGTCGTCTGATGCTACTCGAGTTTCGGTAACACTGGTATGCAAGGTATATTTGGTGTGGTTTACGCATGTACATTGCTTTGCTCTGTAGTCAGAGGTAGCTTAAAGTTTCAGCCAATCTCTCTCTTTCTCCTTGACTCCTTGTGCTTAGTTGGGGAGTTTGTTTTCACTGGTATGTTGCCCTTTCCTCTTTATTTTTTTAGCCAGCGATCTGTGAACATCTCGTTAATGGAGATTTGAACTTATTTTGTGCTGATTTATCATCGAACCATTGTTTTCTTCTTGCATGTTCAAGATGCGGGTTCGAAAGCTTTACTTGATAAGTTAGTCCATCTACTGGTAATCTACTTCATCTCTTCTTTATCCTCGTTTTCCAGCTTAAAATCTACTTCAGCTCTGCTTTATTTTGTTTCCTCTGAGAAATGAAGCGGAAGTGTTTTCGTGTTGCTTTGGCTTCACTTTCTTCTGTTCTATATTTTTTTTCTTTTTTTATAGCTGTGTTGTGCTTAGGGTTTCAAAGAGGTTCTTATTTGTTTTGCTTGGACTGCTTACAGGGAAAACAGAGCGCTTTGGTGTGTTGTTTAGGGTTCCAAAATGTCTTCTAGAAGGGGGTCTGAGCAGCAGCCGCAAAGGCGGATTATGCGGACTCAGACCGCTGGAAATCTAGGTGAGACGGCCTTTGATAGTGAAATTGTACCATCATCTCTTGTTGAGATTGCGCCGATCCTTCGGGTTGCCAACGAGGTTGAATCCACTAATCCCAGGGTTGCTTATCTCTGTAAGTCCCATTTGCATTTGTGGACTTTCACTTTTGTTATTCTTTTGTCAAGGTGTTGTTTTTCGTTGGTGCTGTTATTCGTTTTCTTCTCACCCTTTTTGTTTGCCATTTTTTTCTCAAAACTTATATTTTTATATTCTACATTGATGCTTTTGGGCAGAATAATCTTCTTCTGTAGTGCACATTAGCATCTGTTTGTGCAGGTTTCTTTAATCTTCGAAGTTCCCTTTTTGGTTCCAAGTTATTTAATCTTAAAATGTCATAGTTCTGTGTAATAGTCTTGGTGTTACTGAATACCTGTTGTAATCAAGAGGAGGCCCGACTTTCTGATTTCTTCTTTGTGGTTACTCATTTTTAAAAGTGCTTGTAGTAAGGCTGTTAACATGCATTTAAATATAACGTTTTCCTAGTGTGGTACATATGGTAAGGCCTATTTTGTTCAATCCAGAATTCATTAATAAAAAATTATATTTTTCCAAGATGGTATCGAAATTCTACAAGTGATGATGGTTGCACGATTTTATGTGATAATAATAGATGAAAGTTTAATTAATAGAAATAACAAGAGCACTAATTATTTTCAAACATAACTATACAAGATCCAGCAACACACTGATATGTAAAAATCAGCACCAAAAGTTGCATAATGCATGTTTTCAATTTCAGGATGCAGAAGCGACCATTCCATCATCATAGAACAACTACTTAGAACTATTAACAAATTAGAAACTAATATTATCACTATTAGTTGATATTTTCCACCAGACGTTTTTCTTTTTATTTTTTTGACCAGTAACAACATTTTATTAATATGAACAAAAATATATGTACAATTTCAGCTTCCCATGGACTCTCCCCAATACAACTAATAACAATTGAGTGCAATACAACTGATCCCTATTAATCCCTTGGTTACTCCAAGTATCAGCTAACCCATTTGCAGCTCTTGGTACCCATTGTGCTCTTGCCAAATTTTTTCTTGTTAACAATTTAATATTTTTTGTAACTTCTCTATGTGTCCAAAGTCCAAACTGCTTTCTTCTTGTCTTCTAACCAACCCACTGCCACCTGAGAATCACCTTCAATGATTACCTTCTCCAAGTTCATTTCTTTTGCTTTCTGTGCTCAGTGTAGAACACCAAGGAGTTTGGCCCTTGTTGATTCCTCAAAACCTATAGGGCCTGAAAACAGTGCTAAGATATGACCTTCCTTATCCCTGAGAGAGAAACTAAGCAAAAAGCCTCAATTTTTGTGGCAACAAACTAACACCAAACTAAAAAAGGGAAAGGAGGAGAAGTGGTATAGAACGAAGCAAGGACCTGAAAAAAGAAGCACAAGAGAAGAAACTATAGTTAACAGAATCATAATCCAGTAACTCCACACAAGTTTTGTTTTGTTTTTTGTTTTTTTTTTTTCCTGGGAGGGGGGGCAACTATTTTTTGCTAGCTAGTGACAAGAGGGCAACTACTTTTGGCTACATTATATTTATCAGTAAATTTTTGGCCATGTATGGTGGCTGGTAAGGCTGTTTGGTTTTTTTTTTTTTTTTTTTTTTGTTTCAGAGGAACCTGGATGAGTGGAAATATGATGTGTTCATAGCTTTACTCAAAAAAAAAAAAATGCTGATAAGCAAGTTATAGCAGATTTATAAAAAATAGAGTTTGTATTTTTTTCATCCCAGGGGCCTGTTTTTGAGGATATCCCCTTTTATGATGCTTTAATGGGTGACTATCCTATTTCCTATGGTTTTGGTACACACCCTTTATATCCTGGTGATAGGGGCCATGGTTATTTTTAATATTTTTTTTGAATCTATCTATCACCTGATTATTCAGTCTCTCTCTCTCTCTCTCTCTCTCTCTCTCTCTCTCTCTCTCTCTCTTTCCCCTCTCTGTCAATTTTGGTGGCATTTCTTCTGGGTTTTTGGTTACCAATGAGTCATTCCTCTTGATCTGGAATCTGGTGGAGCACTAGCCCTCTAAAGGCTTTTTTAAGATGGGGGTGGGGGGATCTTATGGGCTTTAACTCTCTACACCACTTGCTTGAACATTTGAAAATAACAGAATGGCATGATCTTTGAGAGCACATAGTGTGTGAATAAGGTTTTGATTGACATATTTAAAACATTATTGACAGGATATCCACCTTTGGGGAATTTGATAGGTGGTTTCAATTTCACAATATTTGTAATGGGTGGAATTCTATTGTTTTTTATCCTGAATGGCCAGGTGGTGTTCTTACTTACTGCAGGTTGACTAGCTATTATTTAGTTTTGTTTTCTTTTTTGTCTCAATTATGTTCTCTCAGTTTAACAGCAAACACTTCATCTACATAGTGATAAGGTGCCAGCTTTTAGGAGGATGATTGATTTGGTGGATGGGAGTCTTCTACCACAGATGTGAGCAAAGTGTATCGCACCAATCATCTAAAGAATCAAATGATCTAATTTTTGTAGAAAAAGAGAATCCTTTTAAAAGGAGAACTTTTTGTTTGCGAAGCTGTACAGTTAAGAAGTGCATGCATTGATGTTAGAAACAAAGGTTCCATTCCAAGGTGAGCCTGATGAAGAGAAGTATGTTATTTTGGTTGAGGAAGATACAAGATTGGGTGAGGTGATGGAGGGGGTGTTTTTCTCATTGTGATGAGGTTTGTGAGGCTCATTTCTATCAAGGGTTGGTTGTTGTTGATAAGGTGGCTACTGTTACAGGTGTCTAAGTAGTGACTGAGCAAGTTACGATCAAGATGTTATTGCAAATAAGGTTTTTATTCACATGGGGTTTATGCAGGATGGCATTTCTTGGTTTGAATTTTGAAAGATATGGTAGGAAAGTTGTTGAGGAAGCCCTGTCATCTGTCAGAAGACGACATGTTAGTGGCTGTTTGATAATGGCTGAAGTGAATGACTTGTTATTTTGTTTTTTAATGGATAATATGTTTAAATAATAAAATATTAGAGGCCATGGTAATTAATCCAAATTCAGCTTGAGCCATTAAGGAGCTGACAACCTCCTTTAATCTTCCTACAAGACAAATCAATAAGTCATTCAGGTCAGTCACTTTACCTGTTATAAATGGTTTCTTAGTTGAGAATTGATGGTTGGTTGATCAGCCTTGAGATGATTTAATGAATCATCGAGTTCTAGACAGGCTCTGTCTAAACCTTTACATATTGATGTTCATTGGGAGGCAGGAATTCAGTGTTTGGATTCAATGGTGGCTGAAAATATTTTGGTCAGAAAATATATAAGTTTATAAGAGGAGGAAAACATAGGACCAGATCATTGTTGGTATCCTCTATTCCTGGAGATGACTTGGAAGATTTGATTTCTGGAAAAGAGGAATTTGCTAAGAAGATGGAAATGAGAAAAACTTGTTAGATACTTAAATGAGACCTATATTATATTATTTTTTCCAAAAAAAGTGAAAAGAGAAGTGTTTGTTAATAAGTTCCTGGGCATGTGTTTTTTAGAAGGAAAATTTGCAAGAAACACTTTTTGTGTTACAAAGCTTAGGGGTGGCTGAAAATTCTGAAGGGGTGGTAGGTGGTGAGGGTCTTGAAGTTCCTGGATATGCAGATGCCTGTGCAGTGGTTTGAGTATTTGTGGTAGAGTCGCAAGATGGGAGGGTGGTTGTTTTGAATAGAAGGGGATTTTTGACTTACACAGAAGGGTGAGTAGGGTAAAAGGAAAAAATGAATAAAAAGAAAATTAATTGGGGGAGGTGTATAATTAGTTGAACGTGAAGCTAGATGGATGGATTGATTTTGATTATTTTGACTCTCTCTACGTATCATAGGATTTTATCTATAATCCTTAGAGAAGTGTTTTTTCTATTTGTTCCCTTTGCTTGTTAAGTTGCATTATTGTTTTTTGTTCTATTTATTGCTTTATTAGTTATTTAATTTGCTGTGATTCTTATGTTGTAGTACCTTCTACATCCTTCAACATTCTTTCTGGTTATGTGGAATCTAAAGTATGTCTATCGTGCAACTTGTGATAGGTCGGTTTTATGCCTTTGAGAAGGCCCACAGGTTGGATCCAACATCTAGTGGGCGTGGTGTTCGTCAATTTAAAACTGCTCTTCTTCAACGTCTAGAAAGGGTAAGTCTTAAATTTTCTTGACATGATAGCTTGCTGATTAGATATACTTTTGTCTTTATGGTTCCTCATCTGTCCTTTGGTTGGTTGTCTGTATGTTTGTTTTCAAGCTAATTTCATCCCTTATATTTTTGATGTATTGATGAAAAATAGTTAAAAATAGTGCCATCAATCAATCTGATCTATATTACAATTTTTGTCACAACTGACAACTGTTTGGTTTCCTGTTTTGGAGATATTTCTTCTTTTTTCCTTCTCATTTGAGTTTTTGTTGTTCTAGTTTGGCTGCTTTTGTGAGGGTAATTTGGATGAAGGGCCAGTTTTTTGTGTTTATGAAGGGGGTACTATTGGGAGTTTGTTTGTATTGGGTTTTGTAGTTGGGATGTATTCTCTCCAGGAGATTGCTTATCACCTTTCTATATATTTCTTCTTTCTTTTAATATATATATATTTTATTTATCTTCACAAAAATTCTGTGGATGGGGGAATCATTATCTTTTAATTATGTTTCATTCTTGATAAGGAAGAGAAAGGACAATGCTACAATGAGTATTGTCTAGTTGGAATGCTTGTATGGCATTTTTGAGCCCACTTTAGGAGTGTTGTAAATTTGAGTTGCAGGGTGCAGTGGTATTTCTTTCTTTTCATCCCTCTTTTAGAACACTGATATAGGAAGAGTGTGGGGTGCCTGCATACTCATTATTGGCTTATATTATTATTTTTCTCTTCTCTTCTTTTGTTTTCTTTCTCTTATCATCTGGCAGACAGCAGTATCCATGGGCTGTTGATGTTGACAGTTGTCCAAGTAGTTATCACCTGTACAATCCCCTTATTCTAAAAATAATTTACCTTTTTTCTCCACCATGCATGTGGCAACCAACGCTTTGAATCACACCATGCGCTTTTGATAGATCCAATAGATTTTTTTTTTTTTTTTTTGTTGAGTTCCACAATCTTTAAAATGGATCCTTGATGTTTATTGAAAGTAGATCCTTCCATCATGTAATTGTTTGCTTTGTTAACCTTTTTTTTCCTTTCCTTGATTGGTTCCTTTAATAATATCAGGAGAATGATCCAACTCTAATGGGAAGGGTAAAGAAAAGTGATGCACGTGAAATGCAGAGCTTTTATCAGCACTACTACAAAAAATACATCCAGGCATTGCAAAATGCTGCTGATAAAGCTGATCGGTGAGTTCACATATTTTGATTCTGCTCTAGTGATTCTCTTGAAAGTGTGGCACTTTTTGATATTGTAGTTGATATTTAATTTTTAATTTTCTCAGTGCACAACTTACCAAGGCATACCAAACTGCTGCTGTCCTTTTCGAAGTTCTGAAAGCTGTTAATCTTACACAATCTGTTGAAGTTGATCACGAGGTAAAGTGGGATTATAATTATTGACTTGTGAAGACTTGAAGGTCCTTTTGGTAGGGCCTCTAACTGGTTGTAGTGGAGACTTGGGATTGAATACCACGTTCATGAGGAATTGGGGGAGAGCTACCCCCTCCCCCTATTGTCTAGCCCTTTTGCCTGCCAAACAAACCTTGTTCAGCTTGATTTTCTTCTTGGTTTAACTTGTATGTACAATATACTTTTAGTGAAGACTACTGTGTTGGTTGTTGTTATCACAAATATATGATTGCTAATTATTAGTTGACCTTTTATGTAGATTTTGGAAGCTCATAATAAGGTTGCTGAAAAAACTGAGATATATGTCCCCTATAACATTCTTCCTCTTGATCCTGATAGTGCAAATCAGGCTATTATGAAATATCCTGAGGTTTGTTTTCAGCTGTCCTGTTTTGTTTATTTTCCATTTTTTGTATTTTCTGGTTATTGTTATGCGTTACTTTAGATCTCACCTTTTCTTCCCCGTATGGTTGAAGTAATATGTTTCCTTGCTTCAATTGAAGATTCGAGCTGCTGTTTTTGCACTCCGTAACACCAGGGGCCTGCCTTGGCCTAGGGATTACAAGAAAAAAGTAGATGAGGACATTCTTGATTGGCTTCAGTCAATGTTTGGATTCCAGGTGAGTTTACCAAGTATTGAAGTCATCTCACCCTTCCTCAAAACATTTGATTCCTGTTAGCTTGTGGGATTTGAAATCCGTTCTGTAGTGAGTGGCTGATAATAGCCACTTAAATGTCTTGTCTTTTGGCTTGTTTCATTTGCTTCAATTCATTATTGCAGAAGGATAATGTGGCTAATCAAAGGGAGCACCTAATTTTGTTGCTTGCGAATGTGCACATACGGCAGTTCCCAAAACCTGATCAACAACCCAAGGTTTTTATTTTTCTAATTAATATTCTCACGGTCCTTTCTTTTTTTTTACTTTAATACTGTTTATTCGCATTTGCCAAGTTATGATTTTATTTTTCATCTTAGTTGGATGAGCGTGCACTGACGGATGTCATGAAAAAGCTTTTTAAGAACTATAAGAAGTGGTGCAAGTATTTGAATAGGAAGAGTAGTCTTTGGTGAGTCTTCATATGTTCTATAGCTTATTGTGTTCATTTACGAATAATTTTTGCTGTACCTTTTTTGTTTCTCTTGTTGACTTGCTTATCCTGATTTGATTACTCTTCCTTTGCTTCCTCTTATTCATTTTGTAATTCCTGTACCCTTTCAGGTTGCCGACTATACAACAGGAAGTACAGCAGCGTAAACTATTATATATGGGTCTTTACCTTCTTATATGGGGAGAAGCTGCAAACTTGAGATTCATGCCAGAGTGTCTTTGCTACATCTACCATCATGTATGTCTTCAATAGCACTTTCCTTGATGTTGAGTTGTTGTTAGATGTTTGGTTAAGGTACCTTTTTGCTGAACTTATGTGATAACGGTTTTGTCTCTTGAAAGTGGTGAGAACTCCCTTTCATGTACCCTTGTGTGGAGGAATATCTTTGAATGGGAAGTTGTATTTTGTATAAGTAGACAGTCAGTCCCAGACCCTGCATTGGCAGGGGCCTCATGCCCTGGGCTGCCCTTATTTAGACAGTTCCTTTCAATTCTTTGGAGTAAGGAGTGTGTTACACCTTATAAAATTGTGTAGCACTAATTCACCTATTCTCTTTATACAGCTTATATAACTCCTTATCTTGCATGGTTAAATTATTGACTTGGCAAGTGCAGTCTATATATGGTAATGGAAGTATCTATATATACATATATGTGTGTTTGAATGTAAATGCAGTCTATATATGGAAGTATCTATATATATGTGTGTGTGTATATATTTATATACATACATTTCTATATGCGTATAGGAATGCATTTTGACTAGGGCGATCCATTGGTTAAGATCTCTGGACTCCTTTTAATGATATTCGGAGGAACTGGATAGTTGTGGTTAACAACCGTACCGGGAAGAATAGGGCACTAGCAGTGTGGGTGCCTCCTTCTAAAGGGGTGCTGAGGGATAAAGACAACAACATTTTAGCCTTGTTCTCAGGCCCCATTGATAGAGCTGAGCTTTTAGTGGCTGTACAAGGTATTCAGATTGTAGAGATTCCTAAGTTGTTGTGGTATGGCTGACAAATCCAAGTTCAGTTATTTGGTGATACATGGACCTTTTGAAGAAAGTTAATTGGTTTCCAAGGAATATGCCTGGTACCTCACATTGGGTGAGTAGAACAACTAATACCATAGCGGATGGATTAGCTAAGCAAGAAGGGGCCTTAAGGGAACAATTATTTTAGGCAGCTTTGCAATTTTTGCTTTTTTGTCTGATGTAATACTGTTTTGTTGTTTAGGAGGTAGCAACTCGCGCCTCTCCACGGGTAGCCTGCATTGACTTGTCATCTTGATCTCTCTTTAATAAAATCTTATTAATTGATCAAAATAAAATATTATTGAGTATATATACATAGAAGGTAGGTAAGATGAAAGTGAAGAAAATTGTGGTGGATGTGAGGAAGGCAAGTAAGATGGAAGAGAGGATGAAAGCCCTTCACACAAGCTTAGTGGGAAGAGTAGTAGATAGAGAGGTGGAGACAAAAGAGTTCGAAACTTGGGCGATGGTAGAATGGGGAAGAGAAAAGGTGATGGGAGTGAGGAAGCTGAATGCGGAGCTGTTGCTATTCATGTTTCAAAGCAAAGAGTTTGCAGAATAGGCATTGGAAGTGGAGCAAACAAAGTAGAGGGAATTTTGACATGAGATTGGAGTCGTGGGGGTTGATGTTTCTAGTGGCTGGAGAGCAAAAGGCGGGGAGAGTGAAATACACAATGTGGATTGGGGTTGTGGTAGTGATTTAAAAGGTGAGCCTAGGTGCATTGGCGAGGCACATTTTAGGTCCCAAGTAGAGTATCTTCAAAAGGTGCACACCTAGTGCCCTTGAGCTTCAGCCCAGGTGTGTGCCTTTCGAAAATCTGTGCATTTTTCTGTTTTTTTGGAAGTCTATGTATTCGCTTGCTCACCAAAGCTCCGAATTCGCTAATGTTGCTTATTCATTCATCCTAGTAAAAGTTATCTTTAAAGGACACTGTTAGTGAATAAAACCAATTCAAGGACCTCACTTAACAGCTTACGCTTTTAGGTTGAAGGGTTCTCTTTGAGATGGTATCAGAGCCACTTTGACCAAGTTGTCTAGTGTTTGATTCTCGTCACCCCATTATAATTAATTAAGTTTCAGCACAGGGTATGTGTGGGCTTGTGCTATCCACGCTTCAAGCCCAATGGGCTTTTGTGTGAGGGGGCATGCTAGTGAATAAAACCTATTCAAGGACCTCACTTAACAGCTTAAGCTTTTAGGTTGAATGGTTCTTTGAGAGACACCTAAAGTTATAAAAGCTTTCTTTTGTAAAGGGATTAAGAATTTAAGACCTTAATGGCCTAATAAGGACTTGTTTGGGCTTGCATTGAGGGGATGCAAAATGTTTAACATTAATAATGCAATTGGGAAAAAAATAAAGAGATTAAGAGTTTATATGCTTGAATATGCTTTATATGTTATGCTTTACGCCTTTCCTTTCGAAAAGGTGTGTGCCTTGCCTTGCGCCTTGGGAACAAAATGGCCCTTGCATTTTTTTACGCCTTTTGCTTTTAAAACACTTAGTTGTGGGGATTCCTCTGCATGCTTGGAGTATCCTCACATTTGAGGTTGCTTCTTCATGTGGCAGGCTTCTGAGGTTGGACAACAAAAACAGATCCTAGGAGAAGTTTGACATGGAAAGGATTCTCGTTGAAGTTAAAGACCAGCTGATGTTCTAAAAAAGATAAATTTAGAATTTGCAGGAGATATTAGTTGAGAATAATAATAGGAGCTGATGACTCTTTTCGGTGGGAGGAGTCATCTTCGGTGGATGGTAAAATTTCTGGAGTGGAGCAGAGGAAGGATGAAGAACCAGGGAATTCGAGAGATGAGGGTAGGTCGGGATTTAGAGCATGAGAGGAGACGAA